CAATGATGGATGATGATGGCCCCAATGTTGATGGCCCCAATGAGAGGGATGAAGGCCCCAATGACAATGATGAAGGCCCCAATGATGGATGATGATGGCCCCAATGAGGGGGATGAAGGCCCCAATGACGATGATGAAGGCCCCAATGAGGAGGACGATGGCCCCAATGATGATGACAAAGGCCCCAATGACGATAGTCCCAATGAGGGGGATGAAGGCCCCTGGTGACGATGATGAAGAATGGAGCAGGCCCCCAGCGAGGCCGGGGACCCCCGAGGAGGATGAGGATGAGGCCAAGGAAGATGAAGGCCCCAACGATGGGGACGGTCCCAAGGAGGACGAAGACTTCAGGGAGGAGGAAGACTCGAATGAGGATGGAGGCCCCAAGGATGGAGAAGATCCCAAGGATGAAGACCCCGATGATGACAAAGACTCCAAGGATGAAGAAACCAACGATGAAGACCCCCATGATGAAGACCCCAATGATGAAGACCCCAATGATGATGAAGACCACAATGACAAAGACTCCAACAATGAAGACCCCAATGACAAAGACCCAATGATGAAGACTCCAATGATGATGAAGAGCCCAGTGATGAAGACCCCAATGTTGAAGACCCCAATGATGATGTAGACCCCAATGATGATGAAGAACCCAACAACAAAGACCCCAACGATGAAGACCCCAATGATGAAGACCTCAATGAAGACCGCAAGGATGATGAAGACCTCAATGATGATGAAGACCTCAATGATGATGAAGACTCTAACGACTAAGACCCCAATGATGAAGACCCCAATGATGGTGAAGACCCCAATGATGACGAAGACCCCAACGATGAAGACCCCAATGAAGATGCCCATGATGATGAAGACCCCAATGATGACAACCCCAATGATGAAGACCTCAATGAAGACCCCAATGATGACAAAGACCCCAATGATGAAGACCCCAATGATGAAGACTCCAGTAATGACGAAGACCCCAATGACAAAGACCCCAATGATGAAAACCCCAGTAATGATGAAGACCCCAATGATGACGAAGACCCCAATGATGATGAGGACCCTAATGATAGCAAAGACCCAATGACGAAGACCCCAATGATGGTAAGACCCCAATGATGACGAAGACCCCAATGACGAAGACCTCAATGATGACGAAGACCCCAATGATGACGAAGACCCCAATGATGACGAAGACCCCAATGATGACGAAGACCCCAATGATGACGAAGACCCCAATGA